AGGCTCCAGGCTTTGCTCTAGCTCAGCCTCAGCCATTCCCCACTCGGGAATTCAACCAGTGGATGTGAGCTCTCCGTGTCTCCGTCTCAACCTCTGCTTCTCAAATAACACATCTTTAATCTACCAATTCACTCCCCAAACACCTGCATTAGCCAGGGGTAGGCCAGGCCAAAATGAGGAGCAGGGAACTCTTCCAGGTCTCCCCACATGTGTGGCAGGGGCCCCAGTACTTGGGCTACCATCCGCAGCCTTCCTAGGCACACACTGGACTGGAAGCGTGGAGTAGCCAGCACACAAACCAGGCACCCTGAGTGGGGTGCCTTCATCAGTCGCACCACAACATCCGTCTCCACTGACTTCTGGAAGCCTCCCCAAGGAGGTGACACTTTGGGTAACTCACACCAGGGAGGAGTGGAAGGGCAGAGGAAGGGCAGGAACCCGGGCGTCGGAGCAGCAGACAGGATGGAGGGGAGCCGGGCTACGAGCAGGGGCCAGCCACGCAGCTCCATGGAACGATGCGTGTGTGGCTCAATACACGCCATCACAATGGCGACTCCCCCTGACCAGACAAGGGCGAAGCCCACACCACTCCAAGCATTCCTGCTCTGGACATGGAATTCCCCCAGAACCCTGTATGTGGAAGCTCACTGGACTCCCTCACAGCTGGGCAAGCCGAGCTGGGCCAATCAGTACTCATGTCCCAAGCTCACAGGGCACAACTGAGACCCTGTAGGGGTGCACTGCTAAGGAACAATTAATTGCCGGTCCAAGTGGATGCCGCTGACCGCCCGTGTCCAGAGCACCAAAGGCTGCTGACTGACCTGACTAGTCTCTGGGCACCTTACACATTGTGGCCCTCTAGGAAGGCGTCTGTGTCCCTCGCAGGGTATACCTGCTGCCCCTTGCCCTCATCTCACAGTACTGACCACTGTGTGTTGTTGCCGCCCAATTCATGCCTCCTGATGCCACCGGCCTGGGGCCCTTGGGCACCCACACACCAGGGCTGGCACAGGGCACATCAGCAGCAGGTGTCTTCTCACTCATCCCAGAGGGCGGGAACAGAGAACTCCCAGCCTGATGCCAGCACTCCTCCACCAGCCCCAGCCAACAGGACTGCCCTGGGCTCTGCCCGGCCCTGAGGCTACTCCTCACTGTGTCTCCAGGACCTGCCAGCGGGCCAGACTCCAGGCCTCAGACGTGAGCAGCAGAGGGAGACTGCACTCAGCCATTCAGTGTTCAGGTCTCCTCCTCGGCCCCACCAGCTCTTCTGGAAGTCCTGAGCAATCTGTGGGCGTCTCTAAACTTCAGCTCTGGGGGACAGTGCAAGCTGGTCGCCGGGAGTGCTAAGAGAAGGGAGGACACGCTGCGAGGCCTCCTCTCCAACCAGCCTCCCTGGCTGCCTGAGGGGAAGGCCCCCAGCAGTTCCCTAAAAGCAGGGTCAGCCCAGGCCACACTGACCACAGCCCCCTCGGCCAGGCCTGGCTCTGTGTCTGTCCTACATTTATGCACTGGACAAATGTGTTCTCAGTACCCACAACCCAGCCCAAGGTGGGAGCTGGGGACGGACTGTGGAAGATCACAGGGACCCTGTGTCGTGCCCAGCTTGGAGAGAGGAGTCAGCTTCTCAGGGCCGAGAGAGAGCGTGACACAGTGGGGCCCATCAGCTCGCCCAGTCCAAGCTGGCAGGGAGGGATCCCGGGCCCCTTCAGGTCTCTTCCCTGGCTGGGGGGAGGGGAACAAGGAATGACAAAAGTGACACAACTGACAGGTTCACAAGAAACCAGAAGAGCACACAGACTGCACGCCAGAGGCAGAGCTCCCTCACGCGCGGTGATCACCTTGTTTAACCCCCAAAATGACCCTGTGATGAGCAAACTAGGATTACCTCCAACTCACGGTAGGGAACCCAGAGCATAAAACAGGTACCTTACTAGGTCAGAGGAGGATCTGGGGCCATGAGATAAAACGGAGCTGAACGTAGTGGAAATTTCGAAGACCTTGCCGAGCCCTCCACTGCCCCCCCCCCCCTCAGCCCAAGTGCAGAGCCGCAGGCAACAGGAACTCAGGAAACACTGGCTCCCTTCATACCCCAAACGATGGCAAATGTGGGCCAAGTTTACTTCTGGGGAATTCTGTTTGCTTGTCCCAAAGAGCCCCTGGTAGCCAATGAACGGAGGCCCAGGGAGCGTGCTGTATCCCCAACCCCCCCTTCCTGCCCCAGCCTATACCTGGAGGGGCCAGCAGCCACACACCTGCCGCTCAGGGCCCTAAGCGTCTACCTCACCCTGCCCCAAGGCTGGGTGCGGCTGGAGGAATGGCGCCTGCTCCCTGCTCTGCCCAATGTCCTGGGTGGAACACTGGGAACAGCCCACCAGGCTCAGCTGGCAGGGAACAAGGGCCTACATGAGCCACGTGGCCAGAGCCAGTTCCTACCTGCTCTCTCAGGAGTGTGAGGCTGGGGGAGAAGCAGGGACAGGGTGCGGGTCTTCCGCACTGGGCGGGGGGAAAGCCACCTGCACAAGCACAGAGCCAGAGCCTGGCCTTGGCTGCTGCAGCTACAGAGACGCCTCTGTGTCCAGGGCCAGCCACAGGCTCCCCTCCTGTCCAGGAGTCCCAGGCACTGTCCCCAAGAGGCTGGGCAGAGAAATGGCTTGGGGGGGGGGGCTTCTGCTGCAAACACGGCAACGGCAGCCCCAGCACCACTCTGGACAGGGGCACAGGTGGCAGCCCCCCGCCCGGCCTGCACCCCTGCTCCCCTTCCCTGGCCTTCGGGCCCTGCTGGGAGGAATCACAAGACTCTCTTGAGCAGGCTGGCTCAAGTTCACACAGTGAGGCTGATGCTCAGGGACAGCCCCAGCCCCTAGCTTAGTTACGGAGGGGTCCTGGGCCAGAGGAAGAGGTGTCAGTGGGAATCTCACTCCCTTCAACTCCATCCTGACACCTGAAGTCCCTGAAACTCTGTCACTCTCCAGAGCTAAATGATGACTCTCCACAGCCCGTAACAAAGCACCACCCACCTTACTGGAACAGAGGGGGACAAAATGCCACAAGAAGTGAGCTTTTCTAGCCTAAAAAGAAGTACCAAAATCCCAATTTTTAAAAGATTTATTAATTTCAGAGGCAGAGTTAGAGAGGGAAAGATACAGAGAGAGAGGTCTTCCATCTCTGGTTCACTCCCCAAATAGCTGCAACAGCCAGAGCTGGGCTGATCTGAAGCTAGGAGCTTCTTCTGGGTCTCCCAGGTGGGTGCAGGGGCCCAAGGACTTGGGCCACTTCTGTTCTGTTCCCAGGCCACAGCAGAGAGCTGGATCGTTAGAGGAGCAGCTGGGACAGGAACTGGTGCCCATGTGGTACACCAGCACCATGGGCAGAGGCTTAACCTACTACCTACAGCACCAGTTCCCAAATCGTGATTTTGCAACGCACTAGTACATGGAGCCCTGCCCCTCTGCCCCTGAAACTCCTTCCACCCAGGTGAAGACACCTGGGCCCACTCCTCACCTGGAGGTGGGAGGGAGTGAAGAGCTCTCCCCAGGGCTCATACACCAAGTGCCTGACGGAGGGCGGGGCTCCACAGGGGGGGGGACCACCTGCTGTCCACCTGGACACCGTGTCCTCTGAGGACAAGGCACTGTCCACCCGGGAGGGGACCACCTGCTGTCCACCCGGACACCGTGTCCTCTGAAGACAAGGCCCTGTTGCTCTGCGTGCCTCTGCTCCTATCCATGCCAGCCACAGATCGGGAGCGGCCACCTCCGGGGCCCTTCCTGACAGAGAGGACCCGCTAGTGGCGTTGTCCTTGTGCAGGCCTGGTGGGACGGTGCCAGCCCACAGCACTCACACTCCTGTCCAACACAAACAGCAGTGGCCAGAGGCTCCCGCCCTCCTTCACCCAACAGGAGGTGGTTTTCCTGGCATAACCTGGGGCTGCCCTGCCCGGCTCGGCTTCTCTGGGCTCCTTCCCTGGCCAGGGCAAGCAGGAGGTGGGTGCCGGTGCGGCAGCTCCTCTCCCTACAGGCCCCACCTGTGCTGCGGCCTCGGGTCTCCAGTCCCCACACCGGCTCTCCCCCGTGTGCCAGCCCTCTGCCCGCCCACCTAGCAGCGCGGGTGGGGACCCATCCCAGCAAGATGGTCACGTCCCAGGGCTGTTCTGCAAAGGTGATCAAAGCCACAGCCACGCCAGGCCCCGACCCCCACCTGTCCTCAGGTAAGGGTGCGGGGAGAGGAAATCAAGGGCTCTTCCAAGCGACACGGGGGCCTCGCGGCGGGGGCAGGGACTGCCGCTGCCAGACCTACACTCGCGCCCCGCCCCTTCTCCGAATCGGCGTGGACCGTGGAGCCCGGGCTGCCCAAGCCAAAACCGACTACCCAGCTCTGAGAGCTGTCGGGCCGGCGGATCCCCAACAGGGACCCCAAGGCTCCCACGTCAGTGCTGCAACGGGACCGCTTCTGCGGGCCTGCGGGCCGGCCCGGGCGCCCGTCCCCAGCTCTTACACCCGTCTGGCAACCAGGGGAGGGAAAGGCCGAGGAGCACCCGCCCGCTCCCGGAATCCAGCGCCGGCGGGCCGGAGTGAATCATTAACCGACCCGGACGGCGCTCCAGCAGCGCCCACTTCCCGCCGACGCCGCGCACTTGCTCGCCCGGCCATCAACCCCTCGCCGGGGGCGGTGGGCAGCCCCATTCCCACAAGGGCGGACGGGCCACCACCCGGCCTGGAAGCACGGTCACCTCCAGGGACCTCGACCCCTCCTCGCAGCCGAGGACGGCGAGGCTCCAAGGCCGGCTCAGAGGCCCAAGGTCACCAGGCAGGCGGCGGCCGGCAGGGGGACAGCGGGCCTCCAGCCAGCAACTCTCCCAGAGGCAGGAACGGTCCTGCCGGCTCCCGCCGCCCGCCCGGTCCCGCCGCGGGCGCGCCCCCGCCCTCGGTTCCCAGGACCCGCAGGTCCGGCAGGAAATGCCACTTGTTTAACCCCTTCCCGCCCGCCGCGAGCGGACTCACCAGGTAGTTCATGGTGCCCCGCTGGCCGGGGGCCCGGCTCTCCGCGGGGGCGCACGCCGACCGCCGGGGCAGCGCGCTCTCCGGGCTTCGAGCGCGCCACAGCCACCCCCGCTCCGGCCCCGGCCCCCGTCCCGCCTCAGCCGCCCAGCGCCGGTCGCACCTCGCTCCGCCCGCCGCCGCGGCCCAGCCCGGCTCCCGGCATGCCCAGCCGCGCGCGCCCATTGGCCGCCGAGGCTCTCCATGCAAATGAGCCGCCGGCCCCGGGGCGCGGGAGCGCGCGGACACGCGCCCGCCCAGTGGGACTGCCCCCCACCCCGGTCCCCCCGGCTCCGGGATCCAGCGCGGTGCCGGCTTCAAGCCTACTGCGTGGGATACCCCTTTTCCTCCAAGAGCGCGGCGCCGCCGCCTTCGCCGGCAAGGCTCGCGCAAACGCCTCCTCTTCTGGGAAGACTGCCCAGATTGCTCTCTCCGCCGGCACACCGAAAGCCCTACAAACCCCCTTTCCTCTCCAGAGACCGAACTCAGGTAGACTTCCGCCTTCCACGCCCACCAGCACTGGGCATTCGCGTTTCCACTGGGTCATCCACTCAGATCTGAATCTGTAGGGAAACGGGGAGGGGGCGTGCCCCAGTCTGTAGGGAGCGTGGACTAGCCTACAGGCTAAGGTCCCCAAGGAGGCTTTTCACATACCACATCTCCACCCCCGCATTGTCCCGTGAGGCGGAAGTGTCAGGGCTCATCTGGTTCTGGCCAAAGGCCCTGGCACCAAAGAACAGGAGCTCAGAGCCTCGGCTCTCCTGAGTCCCGTCTGGCAGCTTGGCTGCAGGCTGCTGACAGTCACTCCATGCAGCAGAACCAGGGTGCTGCAGTCCCTGCACACAGTCCGGGGATGCACGGTGCTCTGCAGGGAGATCTAGGGGAACTGCTCCAGACCCGACAGCATCCCGACAGTCAACACTCCAGTGCAGCTTGGGACACCTGCGTCTCATACTGGAGTCCTGGCTGCTCTACTTCTGTTCCAGCTGGAGTTCCCAGCTCCTGGCTCCTGCCTGGCCTCGCCTGGGCTGTTGTAGCTCTTTCCAGAGTGAACCAGCAGACAGGAGCCCTCTGCCTTCCCCAAAAATAAGTACACATTTTATTAAAAAAAAAAAAAAAAGCCAACAGTCCTGGGCTCCTCCCAGTGCAGGTGAGGCAGCTGCAGCCTGCAGAGAATTCTCACACATGGCTTCTCACAAGCACACGAGCCCAGGTGCACCTACAGTATCCACCAGGCACCTGGCGCCCAGGCTGGATGGACCAGGCCGCTGCCGGACGCCACCATCTGTAAAATGAAGACTCTGGGCCGGGGAGCCCAGATCCAGCTACTCACAGCCCCTCCAGTGCGCTTCCTAGAAATATTCCTGGGTCCCGCCCCTCTAGAAAACCCACCCATCTGCATCTCCCCAGAGCCAGGACCCCGTGGGACAAGCAGCTGGCGCCTGGCAGCCTCAGAGCAGCCCACTCCCCACTGCAGAGGCGCCAGCTCTCTGGGAGCACTGCCTGGAACACCCCTCCTGCTTGTCCCCATGGCTGTGCCCCGTCCAGTCCCTAACCCCTCAGGTCTCAGAGAGCAGGTCTGAGCCTGCAGGACCAACCCCAGGCAGAAGGCAGTCCTCCGGGCTTCTTCGGGGAGGGGTGAAACCAGGCCACTGGCAGCAGCAGGCCTGCGCAGGGAGGGGCAGGGCCACAAGATGCCTGGCCCACAGGGGGCTGGTCCCCACGGAGCCCTAGCTGGGGGCGGGAGAGGGGAGGGAGCAGAGCAGAGGCGGCGGCTGGCAGGGAATGGGAGACCCCCCTCTCCCTCCCTCTCTCTGGAGCTAGATTAAAGTGGCATCTGGGGGTGGGGCTGCTGGTGTGGGCGTGGCGGCGGGGGAGGGGAACCGGCTCAGGCAGAGGCATTTCAAAAATTTGCTGCTTTTCCACTTAAACTCCCTCCCCCCCACCCCAGCCTGTGCCTCCCAGAATGGCATTTCCGCTTTGGAAACAAGGCCCCAGGACCTACATCCCACTTTGTTGGAGGGGCTAAATGGGGGGAGATGCAGCGCACCCCACCCGCCGCGTGCTCTGCGGCCACTTGCTCATTTCACGCCCAAGCAACCCTGCAAAGTGAGCTCCAGCAGCAGCCCCATCTGACCAGCCCTTGCCTCACCACACACACTCCCCGGCACAGAACCGGCAGGGCTGGCAGCCAGGCAGGGGAGGCGCGGCTGCCAGACGGGAGCCCACCATGACTACCCTGCAGCGGGAAGGCACACTGGGGACAGCGGCACTCCCCGCTCCCGGCCAAGTCAAACACCCCATCACACTTGGGACTCAGCAAGGACGGGCAGCAACACCTGCACCCACCGAAGTTACCCTGGTGATGAGGAGGGCGTACAGTAACTATTTAGAAATTGGGTGGGGTCTCCGAGGTGGCTGTGGTGGGCAGGGCTGTCCTGGGTAAGGCACTGAGGCTGCCCTCGCTTGGGGAAAGGTACACACACACACACACACACACAGCAGGCCCTGCAGGAGGAGCTGGGAGGGGGATTGGGGATGGAGGGAGAAGACAGGAGCATGGCCTGGCATCAGCCCTGTCCTTGACAGCTGTCAGTCATCCCTGTTAGGCCTGGCACCTCCAGACTAAAGATGAGCTCATGGGCTACAGGGAGATGTCACCAACCCGGGGCCTGGAAGAGCCGTTAGTGCAGGGGACAGCACCCGGTGGAGCAGCACCCAGGACACTGGCTCTCCTTTGTCCACTCCAGTGTCCACTGGGCAAGAGGCTGCTGAGTGGAGAGAAGAGCCTGGGCCAGGGCCTGGCTTCAACACAGACGCTGCACACAGCAGCTGCTCTCCCTGGGTGCCCAAGCACGTCCACTGTGGCGTTCAGAACAGCCAGGCACGGGGAGACACAGGCAAGTGCCCGGCTCCAGGAGACTGGCTGGACGAACCAGCCACCCAGTGGAATGCCTCGCAGCAAGGAAGACGGCCACTTCCAAAGACCAATTCAGAATCACGCAGGAAAATGCTTAGTGAGAGAACCGGCCGAAAAGGACTGGCACGGACACCGCGCGGCCACCAGCCCCGTTCCAACGTCCTGAAGTCTCAGCCTTCCCGGCAGCACCACAGGGTGGGCTGGACGGGTCAGCTGACAGCGGCCCTGGAAGCAGCAGCAGGGAAGGATTTCCTGAGGCCGGAGGCGAGGGCTGCCAGCCCCAGGGACAGGAAGAAGTGATGTCTCCGGAGGGCCACACGGAGCTGCTGCCTCTCGGCTCAGCTGGTCACTCACGGCGACCAGCTCAAAACCTGGGCCAGGGAGCGTACCCTGTGCATGGCTCAGACAAGGGGTGAGCCCAGCTGTCACACACAGGCCAGACACCCCAAATTCACTGAGTCCTTGCTGCTGCCCTGGGGACCAGGATAGAACTACCACTAGCCAGAGGCTCAGAGAGGGCAGCGCCTCCCCCAGGTCACACAGCCGGGAAGCGGCAGAGCTCACAACCCTAACCCTGCCCTGAGACTCAGGTAGGTCCCCAGCACCAGCAGCCCAGGAGCTCTTAGGGTGGGGCTGAAGCTGTCAGCCACAGCAGCCTTTCCCATTCTGGGCTCTCAAGGGCGGAGTGACCAAGGGGGCTGCTCCTGTGTTGTCAAGGTGGTGACTCTGCCTGGGCTGGGTGAGGGGCTGCCAGGTGCATCCTAGATCCCAGCCCCGCCCCCCCACCCCGGCTCCTCCCTTTTCCCTTCAGGGGCTTCCAAGGAACAGACCAGGGGAGTGGCCCCACAATCCTCAGCGTGCTCACTGCTTGCCTACGGGGACAATCACTGAGCGCAGAGGCACCTGCAGGGCAGCACCAACACCCAAGGCCCAAGGCTGCAGGGGCCACAAGGTACGTGCAGAGTAGCCTGCATCTCCCACTGCCTGCGCCCTCCCCCGCCCCGCCCCATCACAGACCGCCCAGGGTGTGTGTGCTGGGGGCAGCCTGCTGGAGGCAATGGGGACTGGGGAGAAGAGGGCTGAGGGAGGAGGACACCGGCAAGGGGGATCCCGTCCTCAGGGACAAAGCCCAGCTGCTGGGCTACCAGCTCCCGTCTGCCAGCCTGGGTGGGCAGGGACAAGGGTGTGGTCAAGAGGCCTCCCCAGCCCGGCCATCTGCTCTCCCTCTGCCATGGCAACCACCCCAGCAGATCAGGCAGAGGGACAACCTCACAGCCATCTGCTGCCCGCCCTCGCCGCTTCCGCCACACACAGGTGCCCACGCCCACAGACACCCACAGCCACTGCAGGAGGGGACCGTGGGCTGTGGGGTGGGAGTCGAAGAGGGTGTCCACAGAGAAGGCAGAGCTCGGGCAGCCACAGGGCCGTGGGCTCTCCCGCCTGGGCGGCTTCGGCCCGCTTCCCTGGGCTCAGCCCACAAGGACAACAGCAGACAACTTAATGACTCCGGCTGGCCGTGGCCCTGCAGCCAGAAACTGCATCTCTCAGAGCCGGTGTGTGTGCATCGGTTAAAGGAAGCCACGCCAGCAGCCCGGCCGTCCCCAGGGTGGGAGACTATGACGCTGCACCAGCACACACATCCTGCAACATCATCTGCCAGACCCACGTCACCAGGCACCTGGGGCCCCTCCCTTGGCAGGCACTACATGCGCCCCAGTAAGCCGTGCCCCGACCAAGCTCTCCCCACGCCCTGCACAGACACCCTGTCTGCAGGTGCCTGGAGTTTCCCCCTCATCTGGGACTCTGGGGCAAAAATCTGCTCCCGGAGCGCTGGTGCCCCGTCAGCAGCCCGCACTTGGTGGGGAGAAGCGGTTTCGGGCTCGGTGGCTATGCTTCATGCCTCCTCACTGGGCGTGCGATGTGAGTTCTGGGCGCTGTACTAGAACCCTGCCACGAACAGCCCCCGTCCTCGGGGGACACACACTCAGGCTGTGAGAGCCGCGGTGGGGGAGGGGGAGGGCACAGAGGGACAGGGGAGAACAGAGCAGATGGCCCGGGTGGTGGGGAAGGGCTGTTATCCTATGCGAGGTGCTTGGGGGCCGCTCTGCGGGAGCAGCGTTTGAGCAGCTGCACGAGCCTTTTGCTAAGCCCCACCATGCAGAAGAACAGAACAGTCCAGAGTTGCAGAGACACTGGGTGGGCAGCACAGGAGCCTTAGGGGCCAGGACCCGGCAGGCGGCTCCCCCAACACCCCTGCCCTGGCTTTAGTTTAGACTTCTGGGGTGGGGGACACAGTAGCCAGGCATGGCTGCCGGCGGGGTGGCTGGGTGGACGCCCAGCCGGGGCTGAGACGGGAGGGGCACAGGCGGCTCCTCGGACTGCCTCCTTCCTTCCCAGCCAGGACCACGGTGGTGGTGGACGGGCCGGGGGATGAACACAAGATGCCTCAAAGGCCTAAGACCTAAAGGTCCCAGATCACTTGTGAGGAAGGAAGTCCACCACGAAGCCACCTGGGCGGCTGGGAACAGGGCGGGGTGTGCTGGTGCCGGGCTGAGCAAGCCCGCAACGTGCTAAGGACCAGGATCCACACTCGGATCTGTGCAGGCCACAGGTGGACACTGGCACACGGTGTCAACGCCCGCGTGAAGCCCTGGGGCTCAGACACGCACGGCCCACACACGCTAGCGACACACATGCCCCAGCAGAGAACGTGGCAGCACGCCGTGGAGCACCACTCAACACCATGGAAAGCCCCAAATCTCCATGCTGCATGGAAGAAGCCAGATCGAGAAGAGTGCCCGCCGTCTGGTCCACTTACACAGCGCTCACGGACAGGCGAAGCCAAGCCAGGGCGACAGCAACCAGAGGGCGACGGCCAGACGTGGGAGCGGGCACCTGACTGCAAAGGGGGCTCTGAGAGCATCTGGGGTGAGGGGACACGAGCCGCCACGACTTGACTGACAGCTACACACAGGTCACGGAAATCAAGTCTGAAGTCACCCAACTGGACAGCTAACACTGGTACATCTCACAACATATGAAATCCTCCTCAATAAGAGTTTCTACTGGTCAAAAAATAAAACAGGGGTGGGGGTCTGGCTTGGCGGGTAAGGTGCCAGTTGGG